AAGCCCCTCTCCAGGTCTCCTGGAGCTGTTCCAGCTCTCAGCCCCGTTCTGGAGCTGGTGTTCAGTTCCCTCAGGACATCAGGGTCCCTTTTGCTGCCTTTCAGGGGCAACACGCGGGTGGAGGAGGCCTGTGAGATGTACACCAGGGCTGCCAACATGTTCAAGATCGCCAAGAACTGGAGCGGTGAGCGCGGCCCCCGCCTCGGGGGGCTGGGGGGTGTGTTTGGTGGCACCGGGTGACCCACCAGCGCCTGAGCATCCTCCGGTGACTCACTGCGGTGGAGCTGTGCATCCCGGCCCGTTTCCATGGGGACGCGGCTCCTCCGCTCTGCCCGGCTCTCCAACGACTTAGTGCAGGGAGTGGGGGTGCGGGGGGTGACCCGGTTGTTCCTCCTGTTCAGACAGGGTGATGTTTACTGCTTTATAATGACATCTAGTCCCCCTTGCACTGGATCGCACCAAAGAGGTGATGCCCTGGGATTGCTCCTCAAGGAAATACCTTTTTGGGGCGGGACATGAAACCTGATGGGTTCGAGATCCAAGGGGTCTCTTTGCTGATCCAGTGGATGATGCTCATTGCAAGGATGAGCGTGTGGGATGCCCCTTGGGGACAGGCTGGACGAGTGGTGCCCGGGCACAGTTTGGGGTTGCTGCATCTCTGCACCTCTCTGGGTGGTGGGAAGCGATGCTGCTTGGCCATTCCATGGCGATCCTGCGTGTTCCTGGTCCATGTGTCCGTGTGTGCTCCTCCCAGCGGCAGGGAACGCGTTCTGCCAGGCGGCCAAGCTGCACATGCAGCTGCAGAGCAAACACGACTCGGCCACCAGCTTCGTGGATGCCGGGAACGCCTACAAGAAAGCAGATCCACAGGGTAAGGAGAGGGAAGCCGGGATGTTCCCTTGGGAAGCTGCTCATGGAGGAGGAGGTGGCACGTGGGGGCTTTTGGTTACCACCAGCACCACCGGGGCTGCAGGTCCTCGCTCAAGGCTGCTCAACAGCCATGAATACCTCCTGTCTTCTCTGGAATAGGGACCCAGATGGTGGAAGCTTGTGGGCATCATCCTGGTGGGCTGGTTCATGTAGGGGTGTCACCTCCCCTTGGTGATCTGTGGTGCTTTGGTTGTGCCAAAGCCTTTGCTGGGCTCTGGTACATTGCATGGTTGTGAAGTGCTGCCCCTCTGTTCCTTCCTTCCCGGATTAACTTGACTTTGGAGAAGTCCTGGATTCTTAAGTAATCCTTCAGGCAGGTGTTGGGGCTGGATCACAGTGGGATCCCCAGCCCTGTTCCTGGGGGTTTCTCTGGGGCAGAGGAGAGGTGACAGGAAAATGGGCCAAGCTTTGACGGGATGAGGAGGAAGGATCTGGATTCTTTGGATCTGGTCGTGATGGGATGGAGGAGATGAGGGTAGAGGACCTGGATTCTTTGGATCTGGTCATGATGGGGTGAGGATGAAGGATCTGGGTTCTTTGGATCTGGTTGTGAAGAGCAGGGCTGTGGTTTCCAGGAGCACCTCCCATTCCCTTCCCCAGCTGAGTGTATGGAAACGGAGCAGCCAACCTCCCCTGTTGCCCACGCTTCCTGTCCCAGGGGGCTGGAGAAGCTCACTCAGGCTGATAACTCCAGTGTGTAGTTGTAAAACACCCTGATTCCCTTGGGAATAGCAGGGGAATGGCAGCCCCTGCGTGTTAGGAGATGGGGAGTTGCTTTTAGCTCCGTTTGAGGGTGCAGCTGGACAGAGCCAGGGCAAAAGTGGTTTGTGTTGTATTTATCCTCACTTTTGACTGTTCCCTTTCGGCCAGGGTGAAGCAGGAGGCAGTTGGTGGGATGGATGGGATGTTGTGCAGGGTGAGGCAGGATTAGATCTACACATCCAGAAGTGGGGGGGAATGTTACATCCGCAGGTCTTTAGGGTTGAAACGTGACCTTCTAGAGACACACAAAAGTGAGGCGATACCTGTCTGAGGAGCTGGTGTGTGGTTTGGTGCCCTGGGATCAGGGTTTGGGGGGAGGGCTGAAGCTCTGACGTGCTGGCTGACTCTCCTCTTTCTCCTGACCACTCATGCTGCAGAGGCCATCAACTGCTTAAATGCAGCTATTGATATCTACACCGACATGGTAAGAGGCTGCGCTGGCAGCTCCGCTGGGTTGGAGATGCAGGTCGGGAAGCGCCGCACGGAGGAGGGGGGGCCCCACCTCACGTGCACCCTCTGCTTCCCCAGGGGCGCTTCACCATCGCGGCCAAGCACCACATCACCATCGCCGAGATCTACGAGGCCGAGCTGGTGGATATTGAGAAGGTGAGAGGGAAACACCACGGGGGGACCCTCACCTGGAGCGGTGGATCATGGCTGGGCAGTGCTTTGGGAAAGCTGGGGGCAGGTTCCGCAGGATCCCCAACTGGTTTGGGTTGAAGAGACCCTCAAAGCTCCTCCAGCTCCAACCCCTGCCATGGGCAGGGACACCTTCCACTAGAGCAGGCTGCTCCAAGCCCCTGTGTCCAACCTGGCCTTGAACACTGCCAGGGATGGGGCAGCCACAGCTTCTCTGGGCACCCTGTGCCAGCGCCTCAGCACCCTCACAGGGAAGAGCTTCTGCCTCAGAGCTCATCTCAATCTCCCCTCTGGCAGGTTCAAGCCATTCCCCTTGTCCTGTCCCTACACCCCTTGTCCAAAGCCCCTCTCCAGGTTTCCTTTAAGTCACAGCTATTTCCTGATGCCCCCCAAGGAAGCTGATGACCCCCAAGTTCCCATAACTGAGGGCCCTGAGCAGGGATCCTGCAGCCTCTCAACTGGCTGCAGATCTTACGAAGTTTAAAGAACAAAAAGTTTATAGTTTCTACTTACTATTTTCTAGACAGTCGTGAGGTTATCTTAAGGTCCTTTCCAACCCTACCTATTCTATGATCCTATTTTCTTCCTGAGCTCTACTTCACTGGATCCCCCTCTCTGTTACTGCCCCTCCACGTGCCTCCACTTAGGCCCAGCTTTGTTAACTGATTTAACCTACTGTGGCAAACACTGAGGTGTTTCTGTCCCCAGGCGATTGCACACTACGAGCAGGCTGCTGACTACTAAGGTCCTTTCCAACCCTACCTATTCTATGATCCTATTTTCTTCCTGAGCTCTACTTCACTGGATCCCCCTCTCTGTTACTGCCCCTCCACGTGCCTCCACTTAGGCCCAGCTTTGTTAACTGATTTAACCTACTGTGGCAAACACTGAGGTGTTTCTGTCCCCAGGCGATTGCACACTACGAGCAGGCTGCTGACTACTACAAAGGAGAGGAGTCCAACAGGCAAGTGGCCTTCACAGAGGCTCTCAGCAGGGAGGGGGGGAGGGGGGGGTTCACACTTCCAAACCACCCGCGGGTGGGATGCCCACGTCCGGCCTTGATCCCCGTTTTCATTTTGGCTGTTACAAAGAAAACCCTGATGTGCAGCTTCTGGGTCCCACTTCACACACCAACCACTCCAGGCAGTGCCTGGGGGTCTCGGGGTGTGGGTCGGTTTTACCCCAGGCCACAGTTCCTCACCTGGGGCTGTTGATTGCAGCTCGGCCAACAAGTGTCTGCTGAAGGTGGCTGCCTACGCCGCGCAGCTGGAGCAGTACCAGAAGGCCATCGAGATCTACGAGCAGGTGAGGACGTGCTGCATCCGTGGGGACAACTGTCAGTGCAGAGCAAAACGGGTCCGGGTGTTGGTCTCACAATATTCCATGGCCCAGGAGCTCCTGATGCGATTTACTTCAGGGCTGATGGTACTTTGACAAGACACAGTTGGTCCTTTGCTTCCAAGAGTTGCTGTATCCTGGGATCCCTGCATGGACCCTGAGCAGGGGCTCTGACTCCACTTGGGATTAGCTGTAAATCTCTCTGGCTTCCCAACAGTTCCTGTACAGACACTGGTGCTTCCCCCCCTCTTTAGTCACAGACAGTGTAATTTTAACCATCCCTCCTGCTCTTAATCGAGTTCTTCACGACGTGGTTTCCTTTCCCACCTCTCCCTGTGCCCAGGTTGGGACCAACACGATGGACAACCCTTTGCTCAAGTACAGCGCCAAGGAGTATTTCTTCAAAGCTGCTCTGTGCCACTTCATCGTGGACGAGCTCAACGCGAAGGTCAGTGGGCTCCAGGCATTATCCCACCCTTCCCACATCCCGATCCGCCGGCCTTGGCTGGCTGAGGCGCATCCCTGTGCGTGCAGGGGTGCGTGGCTGTTGCATGGGTGGAAGCTCCAAGTGCTGTGGTGTTGAGTTGGGTTTATTGTGAGTGTTTTAGGGCTGGAAGGCAAAAGCTGAAGCAGAAAGCGAGTGGTTGTACATGAAGTGTTGAGTGTCGGCTGCTCTCTTCCAGCTCGCGCTTGAGAAGTATGAAGAGATGTTCCCAGCGTTCACGGACTCCCGGGAGTGCAAGCTCTTGAAAGTGAGTAAAGCCGGGCTTAAAGTGGGAGCAGTGCTTGTAAAGTGAGAGTAAAGTGAGAGTAAAGTAAGAGTAAAGTGGGAGTCCCTCTTGTAAGGCGCGCTGCTGCCCTTTGCGTGGTGCCTTCTCACCTTGCCCTAGATACGCTCTGTTATTCCAACCTGTTAGAGCACATGGGGCTCGCTTGGCCTCGGGTTGATTCCAGACCTGTGGAAGCAGCTGCAGGATGATTGTGGCTCACTTAAACCTTCAGCCCAGTCCCCAGTGCTCTGGTGGACACGCACAGAGCAGTGTCCGTGCTCTGAGCAGGTCGTGGAGGTGCCGCTGCGGGCGGGTGGGTGCAGAGGTCTCCTGGGACACGGTGCTGGGCCCAGTTCTGGAGCGTTTTCCCATTTTTCATGCTTTTATCCCTAGAAACTGCTGGAAGCCCACGAGGAACAGAACTGCGAGGCCTACACCGAGGCGGTGAGTGCTCCCCTGGGCACGGGGGCCTTGTGTAACCTCTTCTTTTGGGGGGCACATGCTGCTCAGTGTCGGGTCAGTTGTTGCTGAGCTCCGAGTGCTGCGGCTGAGTCCAACGGGGCAGAAGAGCAGGAACTTCAGTGGTTAACGGAGC